CAAAATTCCTCTAGTGCGTGCTTGGATTAAAAAAGGAAATTTAATATTCCACAGCAAACAAAACTGCGATTTTTCACATGTTGATTCGATATCTTTGAAAGCTTTTAATTTTTTGCAAATGCAATACTTTCTAAAAAAAGAGAGTGAAAAATTAACATATTTCCCCGAGATATAAAGTATAAAACTTTATACCTGCTGCCTAGATATTAAAAAAGCATATATTTTAGGTGAAAGTAATGTACAAACCTTTTAATGTGTCCATTTGAAGGCATATGCTGATAAACGTGGAAGAAAAAAAGAGATTCTCATCAAATGTTAATTAATAATTCATTAATGCATTTCCTTTCTGATATTTTCGAAAGAGCGTTTCTGTAACAGAGAGAAGTATTCCATTATCGATAAGAGTGCAATGAATTTTGTGGAACTCAGAAAAGATTTTTTATTAACAACTCTTCTCGCATTGTGTATTTTATTCACTCAGTAAAAGATCTTAAGGAAAAATTTACGTTAGAATAAAACATAATTCTATAATGCATGACAGGGTTTCATATGACGCTTTGCTAACTGTGAATCCATATTATTTGAAATTTTAAAGCATCAACATGTAAAATATGAAGAGAGTATGTAATTAAATAGTAAAGGCACTATACGATTAAGAATAGTAAGAAACACATAAAGCATTATACATATTATATTGCATTAGATAACAAGAGTAAATTATATTAGATAATAACATAAAATAATGTTTTTGCAGTATTGATAATGGTAAACAAAAAAAAAAAAAAAAATTAATAAAACGACACTTCATTTTAAAATTGATCAGTCAGTATTAGGCATGGTAATTAGTACAAGTCTTGTGATAAGACTTCTTCTTTGATTAACATATAGAAAAGCCAAAGCATAGCATATTGATATATGAAATATATAAAATATTTTCTCCCTCCTCTCCGCATGTCTTTGTGCTTTAATTGGATATCAAGTCCGGCTGGAAATCGGATGCTCCAATATTAGAATACCAGCGAGGAAAGAGCGCGGAATTAATCACATCATCCTATCTCAAAAAATATAAATGACTCTAGAAATGGCGCTCGAATCAAAACGTAATGGACAATAATTCGTCACCACCAGGATTTGGCGACTGGATTCTCTTATCCCCACTTTCGCTTTAAAAGGGGGGAGTGTGTAAGGTATTTTCTCCCTCCTTTCCCAAAGCCTTCATGGGATAAGAGAATAGCACGTCCAGCTGGCAATCGGGTAGTCCGGGATTCGAATCCTGACGAGGACACTGCACACCAAACAGAACGAATGCAGAAATATTTTGTAAATGAAACAGTGAATTTAAAATAAATTATCATAGTGAAAAATAAATAGTATCAAAAACTGACTGCAGATAGTAAAAACCAGAAACTGAAGAATTGTTTATAAGATCCAAAAGATTAAACTGGCGAATCTGTATAAAGAAAAAATGTAAACCAAATGATGGATTGGGAATTATTTCAGATATGATGCTTAATATTTATAATGAATATTTAATTGGAAAAATTGAATAATCACCTTAAAATCTAAATAATAATTACAGTCAAACTCAGCATAACGATGAATAACTCAATTTAACGAGCATTTGTTTTCGTACTCGTCCGATTTTAAATATTGCAACGGGGGAATATATAAACGTCTCCTATTTAGTAACGTGTTTCCTAGTAAAACCGGTGCGTCGACGTTTATTACAACTATATCTCGCGCTCTAAATAAAAAGCACAATGTGGTGATCAGGCAGTAAAACGAAATTGAATTTAATATAATCTCATTGGGGCCGAGTGTATTATATTCTAAACCTACATCCAGCACTCATATCATGCTTGAATAAAGACATTATTTGGGCTAAGATTGTTCTTTTACCTTTTTTCTAAAAATATTTTTATCTCTAGAGAAAGAAACAAAGTGCTTTGAAACAAAGATTCCCTGCTGTTCTAGGTATTTGAGCTAGAAAAATAGCGCTTGCAAACCAAATGATAGATCTTAGTCTTCTTTTCAGATGTTTGAATAACATTAGCATACAGAAAATATTGCGTTTGCTAAGTAAGTGCATGATTATTTGCCAGGAAATGGACGACACATAAGGACAAGGTATTAATATAGAAGTTGTTACTTTAACATTATGCATGGTGCTGCTGCAAAAATTTGAGCTCCACCAATATGTGAACTGAGATTCACAGGAAGAAATTTCCAAATATTAAAGTATTAAAAGCATTTATAATGATCAGAAAGTGACTTCTTCAGAACTCTCCATTTCCAAAACAGAAGGCATGATGAGGTTGAGGTCCACTAAAACAAACAGTTTTACAATGTACGAAAAATACACGATGTCATTTGAAAGAAAATGGAAATGTTTTAAATGTGAAAGTGTTGACAAGATAATGAACAGTACTGTCTTCAAACATGAAAGAAAGCAGATAGTCACAAAGTCTTTTATAAATGTGGTATTTTTATAGTATGGACGCTGAAAAGATAGAAAGTTTAGAAAACTGATTATACAAATATGTATTTCACCTATGAATAAATGCATGTTGTCCATTTAATGAATATTTTTTGTTAATCTCTTGAGAATCAAGGTTCACGCTTTTGCATTTCTAAATAATTGTTTTAAATATTCAAATTACGAAATTTTACTTTGGATACTTTCTTTGAGGAAATATTAAAAAAAAAAAACAGGAATATATCGAGGATGATTTTCCTCTCTTCAGCGCCATTCAGTGATATTCATTCGTGATTTTTTTATGTGGGGCGTTCATTTTTGTATAACGTTGTTACGTATGACATTCCGAAAGAATCGCACAATATATTAATTTTGAATTTCTAAAAATATATTAATATTCTCATGCACTTTATTACTTTAAAATCATAATCTTACAAAAGAAGTTAGTAAAATAGTCATGTTTTCTCATTTTTAATTGACACAAATAATGTTCCGAATTAGCTACGTGCCAGAACTAAAGTTGGATCTTCATTAGGGACTAAAGATCAGGGACTAAATAACATGCAAAAAGTTATATTTCGTTATTATTACCATGACCATAAAATTTAAAAAGCTTTCGTTTTGGTGTAATTCGAAATGTAGGTCAAAGACCAATGGTTGTGAAAATAAAGGCCGCATAAGGTCTTTTATGGAAGTCAGCGTATAACAAGACGGGGAACCAAATAATTATCCAGACATTTAGAATATGAGTGCACTTTGCTCCCAGTCCAGTCGAATACTAGAAATTATTTTTAATGCCCTCCTTTAGATATGTTTTTGTTAGTGTCAGAATCCTGTAACTTGATCGGTCGAGATTAAATCAATGCAGAATTACATAACGAGAGTACAGAGATCACAATTAGAACACGCAGTCTCACTTTGCTTTAAAAAGATGTTGCCTGTATGTTTTCGTTCACAGTTGCGTACAGAAACTCAAACGTTAAATAACATGTAGCGTCCTGTAACTTCCTGAAATACAAGGGTAATTTCCTGAAAAGAGTACCTTAACAGATTTGTCAGTGTTGTACAGTTTCAAAATGAACTTTGTCTTCATGCTAAGCGACAAATCGTGTTTTCTCTGTTTGTGCAATATCAATCTTGTTTCTATTGTTATTTATATTTTAGATTGAGAAGCAGTCTACCTGACGCTTTTTAAATAGGTAAGGCTAATTCAGAAGTCAAAATACCTTCAAACAGGGTAAATTTATCGTCTACGTAGCGGAACCATACCGGGAGGTTTAAAGTTTCAAACAATTTTGATTTTCATAATAATGCATGTAGATATCAGCCAGGATGGGACTGAGGGGGCTTCCAATGGCTAATTCCTCAGTTTGATTGTAAAATTTATTTTGGAAAACAAAATATGTTTGTTTCAAACAGAGTTGAGTGAGAGAAATTAGCTCATCAATTTCGATGCAAGAGAAATGAAATTCGCGAAGTCTGGTTTCTAGACATCTTAATTCACTCTCCACTGGAACATTAGTGAATAATGATTTTACATCAAAAGAAACCACGGATAAATTTGTAGGAGAAATGTTTTTAACGTTTCTCCTAACGAAATGGTTAATATCTGGATCTTTTATGCCCAAAATTAGAAAAAAGGATTCATATGACAAGAGAGAACTTTTTTGTAATTATTAGATTGACAGATCTAGTATATATTTGTTTGCGGATTTGGTTTGGTTGTTCTAAATACCTCTTGAATGGTTTGTCCCAAAGCTATATTTCGAGTTAAAGAAAAGAATGAAGTAATGTAATCTTCGGTTATCATAATTCGCATCAAGAGGCCTTTTCCGGAAAAGGCACGGATAATATAAATTCTTATACAATCTCTCTATGAAGAATTGTTTTTATACAATTTAACGTCTTCTATGGGTAAAATTTATCCACAAAATATTTTAGGAGCATTATAGAAACTTAATTTTGTCAAGTATGAAATTTTGAATTTTATGTTTGATGAACCCATGTTTTAAACGTTTTCTGATGTGAAGTGTATCTTTCAGAAATTCCCATTCGAAAACGTAAGCTTTGAAATTTTGTTTACATAAACCCCCTGGAAATATAAATTATGGATCATTTATGACTTATTATAAATTATTAGACATCACTCTAGAAGTAGTTAATAATCACAGAATCCGTGGTTTTGTAAGAAATCGCACATAATTAAATTTTAGATCAATGGTCTCAAACAGAAAAATGCATGCTTGCCGATTACTAGATCTGAAAGCAACCGACGGGCCTTGTAAACCTTTCTTTTTTTTTACAAAATTAAAAACATTTTTAATAAAACAACATAAAAATAAATAAATAAAACAAAATAATTTTCATTTTCATTTGCCTTACATTTATTAAAACATACATAAACAATAATAATAATAACAAGGAAAAAGAGACTATTATCCACAAGAAAAAAGACTTTGCCAGTGACGGAGACATGAGGCATCCTTAACAATAACTTATTACTTCGCGGCAGGATTATACTTACCGGAGGCTCCTGTGATGTCTTTTGCTTTTAGTTTCCTGGCCTTGATGAAACCGATGGTCAACTCGCTCGTGCGGGGCACGTACATCAGACTGACCAGAAGATCGCCCAGCTGCGAAAAAAAGGAGACAAATTACTATACTGATCTACATTGACATTTCTTGTGCTTTTTCACTTAGTGTTTGAATGCACGACATAGCCGGAAAAGATTGACGCGGGTAGCGACTTAATCTGAAAAGAGGATAATAGAAATATTTTGGTTTGGCTTTTCTGTCCGCAATGGCCTAGGGATTAAGAAACACACTGGTGGCAGGATAATAAACCTTGAATACGTACAATACGTTTTCTTATTTACACTTTGCTACTATACGAACAACTGGCCGATAAGTATTAATCAATAATTATGGGTACCGCCTTAAAAGTATTTAACATACAAAAGGATATGATGTCATTTTAAACACTTAAATCATTACGTTTCTTTAAAATTTCTCTCTTTTTTATTTCCTTGTACAAAATAAAGAAAGTGTTGTAAACACAAATAATTTCGGGTATCATATTTGAAAGGAAATACCCATTATAGCAATTCTTTTGCGTGACGTCTGTAGGTACGTACAAAATTAAGCACTCTTTTTCCCCAAACGGGTTGTAAAATGGATTTAAAATGGCTACAAAATGCATTTCTTCTTGAGATCTGTACGTACGTACATGTGTATTTCGCATCACGATTAGCCGTAGAACGTTGAAATTTTGTATATGGGACTGGTATGACATCTAGTCCTGCATCTCCCTTTCTTATTGCAGTCGGCAGTACCAAACGTATCTATATACTAGCCCCCCTTTACTCAGCTTTTCCTGTCTTTTATTTGCCCAATCGTTGGTCGTAGTCATATATTTAAAATTATAGAAGTGTTTTAAATGGCGAAAATATTCATGTTTTGGCAATGTCAAATTTCAAAAAAATAATTTAAAAAAATAAACAAAATAGAAATTTTAATGCGGTCTCATGGTTCCTATACTTACATCTGGGAACGTTTTACATTCCTTAAAAAATAAAATGATAAGGACTGTATTCCTGTGCGAGCAATAATTGACCGGGGTATTTAATTTCAATATTTGCAATAATTTGATTTTTTCTCATTGCAAATTTTGCCTAGAGGTATCGATTAATTTAGAATAATTTGGCGGAAAAATTTCAAATGAAGGAAGCAAAAAGTGTGTATAATTTAATAAGCATACAAGGAAATAATTTTGAGTCCATTTGAAAGACACTGTACATTTATTCATCAAGACTTCTTTTCTATACCTTCCGTCTTGATGATTTTTACCGGTTCCCAAAGTTGATTCTAATTGTATAACGCTATCAGTAATGTTTATTACATATAAATAGTTATGTAAAATACAGGAGTTTGCATAAATAAAGAAGAAATGTCTAATAAGTAAAATTATGAAATTGACTGACCTGTTCGATTATGCCTAATTGTTCTTTTTCGATTATTTTTGCGCCTTCACTTAATAAATGGGGTTAAGTATTTTTGTATAAGATAAAAATAATGATTCCTAAAATTTTGCGACTAACGACATACTTAATCAGAGTCAGTGATACAGTTAAAAAATTTTAAAATGCTATTATTAAAAATTATTAGAATCATATATGGTATGATTCTAATAATTTTTAATAATGGATATGCGATTTTTGCTTGGCATGTCCTTGGAATGTTCAAAGACTTTTCGCAAGGCGTATTCTGTGCTTAACAAATAGAAACTCATATCAGCTTCCAGATTAGAGATGCACCATCCGTTCCGAAATCGATTCCAAGATTCAATCCACTTTACTGATTTAATAATCCAGCGAAGATGGAACGGCAGTTCTTTATTACGACTGTGAAATTGTACGTTGGAGTAGCTGGTCCAGAATTTTTATCCTATGGAGAATAACAATCAAAAAAAGGTTAACATGGCAGACGAGTACCTCCTCATAGAAGGCACTGCTTGTATGGAAATCCCCACCTAAATACAATAAAGGAATTTCAACTTACTACCTTTGCTCATGCAAACAGTTCTCAAGGCTAGAAATTGTTTTTCTAGACAAATGACAATTAGTGGTGAAGAAGAAGAAGAAGCGGTCGCCAACCGGTGGTCCGTGAAAACTTTTTCATGGTTCGCAGAAAAAATTGGGCATTATTTATATTTTTATGAAGATTCAGTTTTAAAAATGACGAATAACAAAACCTATTTATGGAATGAGGATTATACTTTTTATTTTTGCTACTACTTTTAGCGAAATTCCCTTTGAATTTAGCTACTTTTGCAGGTGTATCTAGCGACACTTGAAAGTGAGAGTTGCCATCCATGGATATGCCGCTGTTATCAATAATAGCGCTAACTGGAATTCTCTTTCCTTTTGAATTACAAAAATATGCTATTGTAGTCGTTAATAATACAGGCTCCGTGTCAATAGGCAACTTAATGGATTTGTATGAGACCCATCTGCATTCTTGTTTATAATTGCATCACTGGAAGTTTCCGTTTTTGTTTTTTCTAACTGTTGATCGATGGCGCTATTGCTGAGTAAGCGATGATTATTATGTTTCCAATAATAAAAAATTGGCGGCATAACGCTTTCCGTTTATTGATATTGCTTTGCATTTGCTGTTTTGTTCTTGCTTTTCGTGAAGTACCTCTTCAGTGATATGGAAATGTAAAGCTTTTTATACAAGAAGGTCAAGATTTTTGTACTTTTCATATAATTTTTCAATGTGAAGAAATATGTGTATCAGTGAGATGTTAATAGTATTTTAATTGCTACTCATAATCAGAGGCGTATCCTGAATTTTCATAAAGGCATGCTGCTGAACCACCAAATATTTCGAAAATTATATTAACAAATGAAGAGTAAAATTACATGTATTGGACAGTCGAATATTGTTTTTGTGTATTAATAAGTTGTTTTTAAAGTCTGATTTAAAGTTTTTTTTTTTAAATTCCTATTAGTGGTCCACAAGATATAAAATTATATATGTAGTGGTCCATGAAGTTCTAAGGAGTCGAATTGAATACTTTGAAATAAATGTTTAAGTCAATGAAAACATGACTTATCCAGTTATGTGGAATTAACTGTCATGTACTTAATTTTTAGAAAACATAATGCCTAGTTACATGCTTTATCGTTTTCAAAAAAAAATTCATAATAATCAACTAGTAATATCTTATTCTGATTTGTCCATTGCGAAAATGATGCTGACATCCACACGTGTACCAGTTTAAGAGATTGGACGAAATTTTAATCTTCGTATTGTTTTTGATTTAGATCATAAAATCGTATATTGTAATACTCGCTCATTTGCAAGAAAATTAAATATATTTAATGATTTCTTCTGAGGGAAATTTGAGTATTTATTTACAAAGGCCTGAGAAAATAAAAACAGAAAATTCCAGTTTATTAGTAAACATTTCTCCCCTTGAAAGAAGAAACCATAAAATCCAAATTTTAGAATTAAAACATGAAATGAGCGTAACCTTGTGTTTTGAAATCTGTAATGGGCATTCTGTATGAAAAACTGGAACTCAGCCTCTTAATTCTGATAAATACTGAATTTTAGATATATGTTGCGATTAAATTACGGAGAATTGCAAGATGAGTAAGAAGAAACATACCTAATTTTACGTGCATGTTACGAATAAATTAAAAAGATCTTGCAAGATACTTTTGTATCTTCAAGTCCATTTATGTATACTGTTTGAAATTTGGTGCATACATTAGAATGAGTGTGCACACTGGCTCAAGGCATTCTTTGAGTAGATACCTAAGCTACTCTTATTCACAGCTTCTGCCTGCGAGCTTCGTAAAATCAGGTTAAAAGTTTTTAAGAAAAACTCGAGCGCTTTTCTGACTATGAAATACGTCAGTCATTTGGTTCTTAACAGCAAGAAACATGTTAACTGCAGATATTCATCACCAGACATGTGAGGTACACAAGGACAATGGATATGGGGAACGCAAAGTAAGATAATAGATGAAACTGGTCAAGAAACTGATAGAGATGTACAAATGACCTAGAAAATAATTGGCTCTCATTATAGGCGGCAGAGATCTGTGAGGATAGTACCCAAAAACCGTTGTTAATTGCAAAAAATGTTTAAACCAATCAGAAGGATATGCAGAAGAGTTGATATGCAAATTTAGAAAATAAATGTGTTTTTTAAAACAAATGCGTTTATATTTTTTTTAAATCTTTACTTGTTTTGTTTTTATTGCAAAGAGGATTTTACTTAAAAAGTAACCCGCTTTTTAAATCGCATTACATTTTTCAAATTTAGATATGCAGCGATTTTGTGTAATCATTGAGCTTTAGAATGTAATTTTTTGTAAAGATATCATCTTATGATTGTATTATTTCTGTAAAAACCCTCCAAGAGTTACAGAAGGGACATTCCGCATAGAAGGATAGCTTTTCCTATCCCTTTACACATGAAAATTCTGCTCGCTCCTGATCTATTTTATATCTGGTTGGAAGCATACTGGGAACAAAAGGAGTCAAGATATAACGTCAGATTTATGATTATTAGGACTATGCTCAAGAAAATATTACTTATTTTGAAAAGCATGCCCATGACTCTTGAAGGTCAAACGAAAAATAAAATCTATTGCAATACAGATTATTATTAGGAAACATTTTACTGCAGAATTAGTGTTTTTATAGTTTATATTAAATTGGACAATTATGCGAATACAACTTCTAAAGGTTACATCAGCATGAAACAATTTATATTTCGCTTAAAATGTCAAAGGTTAAACCTGATTAATCCAAAATTCAATCTCACGTTGATTTCATTACGTAAATGTTGTAACCAGAATTGAGTTGAAACAACTCATTTCGGAACGCTTAATATGAAATAAAAATAGAACAATTAGATTTTTGTACCTCGCATTTAATCAAAGAAGAATAAATAAATAATTTTCTATTTGTGGTAAGCATCGTTAGTTGGAAATTAATTATGGAAGTGGATTCCGTTGCTCAGAAATGAATTGTATAACAAAATATTTCATCCTACATTAATATAAATTAAATAAGAAGGTATTAACTAAAGAAAATGAGTTGGAATTTGAGACGT